ACTGGAGAAGAACATTCAGAATGTTGAAGTACAACGTCATGAAGTGTGCACTGCAGTGCAGAAACTTATGAATGATGTCGGTCAAGCCTACAGCATCAAGGCTAAAGAGCTTGAAGAAAATCATCGAAATCTCATCGAGCAAATCAATGCAGTAAAGCGGACTTTCGATGACGAACTCAACGTCTTGAAATCCAAGGATCGACAAAAGATCAAGAGTATGTGTAGTTCAATATCACTGGTAGCTAATGACAGACTGGGTCGTCTTGAGACAGACAGTCTGTCTGCTCATACCTTGCTCTGTGAGAAGCTGGATGCCATGCTGAAGGAGGCTACTGATCACACTTCTGCGACAGCCATTACGAAGAAAGCACATGAGAAGAGGTTCAAGCCTGCAGATGATACTCGTCTTGACCTCGGGTACATCTCAGAATCAGATCCCAAGTTGCAGGTCATTCGGTATGTAGATCTACGGGGACAGATGTGGGGTATGACACCGTATTCGGATGACAGTGTAGCTATCGGATATTGGGATACACATGGTATAGATATTATTGATTCAGCTGGTACAAAGGGGCAGTATCTAAACATACCAAGTAACATGAAGAGTTATGATCTTGTGTTTCAAGAAGACAGGTCGTTATGTAGATCGGCGGGTTGCGCAGAAGCACACGTTTATTCTCCTAATGGCTCCAGGAAATCAACTATCCACGTGAATAGCAATGACAATCTTCTCAGATTAAACAGAAGTCCCTCAGATGAAATCCTCATCGCTAACAATGAGAAGAAAGTCTACATCTATGACCCGACTGGATCCACTCTCAAACACACGGTTCCAACAACAAAAAACAAGACGATCCAGGTATCTGCTACAAGGTCGGGTTTGATCGTCACGAGTTGTTACACCAATCCAAGCGTGGTGACGGTCTATGACAGGAATGGGAATGCTGGCAAGTCTCTACAAGCTCCAGACCATGTCTACTTGTATGCTGCCGTGGATGAGCAGGACAGGGTGTACGTAGCGAGTGTTGATAGCAAGAATGGTAACGTGGTGATCAGGCTCTATGATCTTGATGGTTTGAACCTGAAGGAAAGAGTTGAGTTCAATGCGCTTAATCTGACGCTTGGAGATAATTGGTGTTACTTGGTTTCCATCTCTCTAGACATGCTTGCGTTTGCTTCTTACAAGAAGTTGTATTTTATCAAAGTATCACTGTAATCCATCTCACACTGTATATTACCATTATTGTTAGTGTGTATACCTCTCTGCTCCAACTGTACTCTATAATATGGGCCTATAAATGTGTCATTTTACAGTGTTCATTCTGAATAACTAACCGAATGGGAAAATGCTTATTCTCTTGATATTATTATTATTACTTATACCGCGCTTTTCCCATAAGGCCTAAAGCGCCAACAGTGAATGAAAATAAAAATTACATAAAGACATATAATTAGAAAAAACAGTCTTACAACTACAAATTGCAAAAAAAAGATGTGTTTTTAAGGCCTTTCTGAAGGTAATAAATGATAGAGACTGCCTGATTCTAAGTGGTAAATCATTCCAACATTTTGAAGCAGATACAGTAAATGTTCTATCAACGGCTAATGTGCGGGTAACTGAATATGTGAGACGGAGAGGATCACTGGCTGATCTCAATGCCCTGGCAGGTGTATATAAATTCAACCAGGTATGTAAATATTGTGGAGCTTGATTATTGAATATTTTGAATACAAACAAGAGTAATTTAAAAATTATTCTTTGTTTCAAAGGAAGCCAGTGTAATGATCTCAAGAGTGGCCGAGATGGATTGTCCCTAGAAACCTGAAATATCAATCGGGCTGCCCGATTTTGTAGCCGTTGCACACAAATCAATTTAGTCGAGGGAATGGTAGAGAGAAGCCCATTACAATAATCAATACGGGATAGAACTAAAGAACGCACAGCGTTATGACAGGCAGACTAGTCAATAAACCTTCTGATTCTAGCAATATTTCTTGAATAAAACGTAGCCATACCACAGATGTGAGAAATATGGTGAGACATCGACATGCAAGAATCAAATACAACGCCAAGGCTAATCGATTTTAATTGCCTGTATATAGTTATCATTATCCAATATAATAATAACGTCCCTCTATCGAAATACTATGTAAATACTTTACGTAAAATAATGCATCTACTTCATGCATTGTGTAATAGTTTCTCTTGTTTACTGAAAAAGGGGATATGATATCATTATGTATAACTTGAAAATTGGTAATGTATTGATTAAATTCATATTAGTGTTGTTTTCCTTATGTTATTAATTATTCTCGAAGTATTTATTTTTTAATTTGTGTTCTTATATTTCTTGACTTTTATGGTAATTATTTTGTATCTATAAATGAACAAAATTAATACAGACATTGTAGATAGAACCCAAGCTTTTAAGCTTTCGAGGGTTATCATATCAGGCTATTGGTATTATTTTTGTTGTTTACATTCATGACATCATTTTACTCTTCGTAAGGATGTTACATTGAACTTGCCCAATAAACCAAATCAAATCTTTAAAAATCCTTGGAGGACCATGGTTGCTTCGTTCCATAAAGAATTCTTTCGTATACACTTTGCACCCTGTCTGAAAAGCCATTAAATTGAAAGCTCTGGGAGCTGCTAAAATTTAGTTTGTTATGATGTAGAGAAGTTAGGTCTCCTGACTAATTAGTCTAAGAATATTATGATATCTTTGTAAATGTTTATTGCATTTATGTTATAATCGATAATGTCACTTCGCATTTTCATGTTAATTCGGAAGTTTTACTTTTCATAATAATTGCCGCTTCAATTCAGTTCAGTTAAGTTAAATTATATTTAATTGAATTCAATTTATACAGATATTCTGATAACCGCATCTCGATGGAAATTGTTATTTTTATTTATTTTTATTTTTAAGAAAGTAAATTCTATGGAGCGACTATATCGATACAGACTCTTCGTCTTTATACTGTTTTGTACACAGTGTGTAAACTTTACCACATGTCTCATAGTTCGTATTTTGTTTTTTCCTCTTTTGCTTTTTCTTTTTTTAAATCAGAAAATAGTTATAGTAAGTTTGTATACGTTTTAACCTACCCTGTAATTACATGTATATTTGTACATTATTTGTTTGTGTGCACATGGTATAGTTGATTAACACTGGAAGAGTCCTTTAATAGTTTACAAAGATAGGGGAAGAAAGAGTGAAATGGAAGGAGATAAAGGAAGAATAGTGGAGAAAGGGGGGTGGGTGAAAAACAAGTGTAGATACCGTCGTTTACTCTTCCAAATAAAGTAATGAAATCAAATAAAACGCCTTGCTCTATTATCCAAGATTCTACCGAAGTGGATCTCCAACATAATATATATATATACACATAAATATTGAAAGACGATCTACTCAAGTGTAATTTCACCATTGTAACCACGTTTGTATTCGTTGTATTCAAGGACACATTTGAAAAGACATTGCTTGTGTGTGTGTTCATCATTTGAGGTGCTAATTTACATTCGAGCATCTAAATCAAGTTGTGAGAGCAAATGTAATGTAATTGAAGTACAATGTCATCAATACAAAACACACATTGTCTCGACTGTACAATACTTTTCTACTTACCATCTAGAGTGTTTTTAATAATTTCTCTTGGAACCTTTTGTCTGGTTTCTTAGCTCCTGATTTACGATATGTCCGTTTTTGTATTTCTCTTTGAAATACGTATCTTAGTTTGAAGCGTTTTCAAAAACTAACAATCAATATTAAAAGAGACACACATTCAAGATACTATTCGACGGAATTGCACGTTATGAAGACTTTGGTACAATTAATATGTATAGGAGAAAGAGAGAGAAAGACATCGTGAGATAAAGAGATACGGGGAGAGAGGGAGAGAGAGAGAGAGAAGAAAAATAGAGTGTGTAAGAGAGAGGGAGAGGGAGAGAGAGAAAATGAAATAAATAAGGACAGAGAGAAAGTTATAACCGAAAGAATGATGATAAGAGTACAATCAACTCGTTTATTGCATGGACCTATGTCGTAGGGTCAAGGCAAGATTATTTCAAATAAATCATATTTCAGGGCAATACTGGCTATAGTGGCACATTCAATTTGATATCCCTGTTTACATTATCAGCTCTTGAGAAAGACATGATTCACATTATCATGGTTAAAGTCTTAGTCATAACATTTGTTATACAAGAGAGGAAGTGGTGAATTATTTGTCCATACAAATCATATACTATAATAAGGAAGGTTGAAGCCTCGTAGCAATCTGATTCGAATTATTGTTTGAGAAATATATATATAGAAAGAGAGAAGTGGAAGGAGATATAATGAAGAATAGTGGAGAAAGAAGGGGTGAAATATATAATAATAAGTCTAGTTCTAATCCTTTACACTTCTAAACAGAGTAATGAAGAAAAATAGAATGCTCTAACATCGAGGATTCTACTAGTAGAGTGATCTCCAGCATAATATTATATCTACCGCTGAAAACCTAAATAAGTCGCCCCCTATCGAAACAATGATGAATACCGCCATAAAGTTCAAAGGTGCTTCTACGCTGCGAGCGCTCTCTGTGGAAAAACCCACCGCTATTTATAGGATGCACAAACTGCATATATGCACAGTAGATCTACTCAAGTGTGATTTTACCATTATAACCTTATTTGTATTCAGGTACACATTTGAATAGAGAATGCATACTTTTGATCAAAGTTAGGCGCACCTCTTTTGACACATATTTTAATCAACGTGAGAACTGGGTACAGAACTGCATGCAGTTAGGACGCACTTGTTGCGTAGAGTCGAATATTGGTAAAGTCTACTACGTTACTGCATATAGTGAGAGCTTGCATGAACTGAGTATTGGCTTATAGCACACATCAGCTGATCAGACTTTTGAGTTTTATTGGACATAAATTGGATATAGACGCAGAATGAGCTCGTGTTTGTAATAAGCCCAAAATCATCATATTTGTAGCAATGGCTGCGAAAACTGAGGAAGAGAAAGCTCCAAGATCTTCAGAGAACCTGACGTGTCCACTATGTATTGATATCTTCGACGAAGCAACCATTCTGACTTCATGCGGACACACCTTCTGTCGGAAATGTCTCAAGAACTATGACCTGTCCCATCAGGATCTTGATCACATGATCTGTCCTCTCTGCAGGAAGATCACCAAGTTGTCTGCGAACCGTGTTGCTGATTTCCTCACCAATGTGACTGTCAACGGACTTGTACACAATTACCACGCCGAGTGTGGAGGGATGAACGCTGTCCTTGAAATGCGCCCAAAATGCACTGCTTGCATGCTTCAGCAAGATGCTGTCTCATTCTGCTGTACATGTAATAACTACATGTGTGATAATTGAATTGAATTGAATTGAATTTATTTATTCACCACCATTGAAAACATTGAAACAAAAGATAAATGTACAATGACAATGTCAATATAACATAAATGCATGACATGAATTATAAAAAAATACATGTTCTACAGCGATATACATGTACATTATGACAAAGATAAAGTAAACTTTGCTTCAAGAGTAAAACAATAAATGACTATTTACAATGAGTTTGTGATCGATGGTAAAATAGAGTCAAAAATAGCACATGTGCTAGTCGAGTCTGACTCTCGTTATCTAAAGCCTAAAATAAAGTTAATTTAAAAATATATGATGGGTTTCCAAATCTTATAAATAATTTTGTGTATAATATTAAAATGAGACTGGTTACTATATACAACTATATAGTTACGAGGTTATGATTCGTGGTTTTCACTTAAGAGTAATTTTGTAAGTTTTTTTACGAAAAGAGGTTCTTGATCTCTCAATTCTTAGATCAGTAGGAAGCATATTCCAAAAATTACTTCCAACAAACGAAACAGAAAACTTTCCTTGGTCTGTTTTGAATAAAGGAAGACGTAATTGTCGACCCGTTTTTTGTCTTGTGGAATATTCATGTTGTATCATACTGCAATAATGTTTTAAGGAATGAGGTAATCGTTCATTTATCATATCAAACACAAAAGTACAAATAGATAATTTATGCAATTTAAAAACATTCAACAATTTGAGGTCATGAAACAGTGCATTAGTATGAGAACGATGTGGCTTGAAAGTTATAGCACGTACAGCCATCTTTTGAGTATAAAATATACAATTCAAGTGTGATTTATAAGTACTACCCCAAACCTCGATGCCATATGTAATATGTGGCTGTATAAGAGCTTTATACAACAGTATCAATATATGTTTAGGGACACAGTGCCGTAATTTAAAGAGGATGCCGACCTTTCTCCGTATACAATCATTAACAGATTTTATATGTGAATTCCATGTAAAATGTCTGTCAATGGTAATGCCAACAAATGTCGCTTCCTCCACTTCTCTTAATTCTGCCCCAGATATTTCTAATCTCCCTTTAAGCACAGCCTTTCTTCTACGACTACTGAAGAACATGAAATTGGTTTTTGACGCATTGATAGTAAGCTTATTTGCAGTGCACCAATTCTGTATGGATTTTAAATTTTCGTTTACTTCACACTCATCTATTTGATCTACACCTTTGGGAAAAGTATGAAAAATATTAGAATCATCTGCAAATAGTCTGAAATTGAAATAATTTGTCACAGTTGGCAAGTCATTTATATAGATTAAAAACAGAGTTGGTCCTAAGACAGAACCTTGTGGTACACCGCATTTGATATATCTACTTTCTGATGATGACTCTTTGTATTTCACAAACTGCATTCTGTCACTAAGATAGCTTTCGAGCCATTTCAGTGCATGTCCTCGGATGCCATAATGTGATAGCTTTTTAAATAATATGTTATGGTTTATTGTGTCAAAAGCCTTTTGAAAGTCAAGAAACACACCAAGCGTAACACATCCTTCGTCTATACTTTTCAATACCGTATTCATAAGATTAATTAATGATAATTTAGTACTATACTTCTTCCTAAATCCGTACTGATGGTGATATAAAATGTCATGCGTTTCTAGAAAACTGGTCAATCGAGCATTAACTATTTTTTCTAATACTTTACCCAAAATTGGTAAGACAGAAATGGGTCTATAATTCCCCGTTTCATGTTTATTACCTTTCTTAAACAGTGGACTGACTTTAGCAATTTTCATTTGATCAGGGAAATTTCCTGTTTCCAATGAAAGATTGAAGATATGTCTTAATGGTTCAGCCAAAATAGATGCACCATCCTTAATCAGGCGTACTGGAATGTTGTCGTAACCACAAGCTTTCTTCTCGTCTAGAGCCAACATGTGGTCATGAACTTCCTTCATTGTGACCGGTTTCCAAAAAAGGGATTGCTCAACACTATTACTCAAATAATCTTCAAATAATGTGGGTACATTTGGTATTGCTGATGCTAGATTTGGACCGATGTTTACAAAGAAATCATTAAATTCATTGGCAATTTCAGATTCGGTTGTTAGAACTTTATCATTTCCATTAATACGCCTTATAAGTTTTTCTACCTTAGTACCTTTGTTACCTTTATTTCTCCCTGATATTAATTCATTTATGATGTTCCACGTTTTACTAGTGTTATTGCTGTTCTCAGCTAGCAAACCACTGTAATAATTTCTCTTGGCATTGCGAAGAACAGTCGTTAATACATTTCTGTAGTTCCGAAATTTGTGTACATCACTTACATCAAAATTAGATTTCCTTACTTTTAAAAACAATTTATATTTTTTTCGAACAGACTTCATTATTGATTTGGTTATCCAAGGTTTCTTATAAGCGCGTCCTTTGCAGCTTCTTTTCTCTTTGATTGGTGCATGTTTATTACAAACATTATTAAACAAATTAAGAAAAATGGAGTATGCCATGTTAACATCTTCACAGCTATTGATATGTTGCCATTCTTGCTCAGCAAGGTCATCTTTAAAGTTTTGTACATCATAGTTTTTATAACATCTGTAAGTTACAGTTTGTGGATAATGCAGCTGCTTCAAATTACATGGATTTTCTAAAATCATGAACACAGGGTAGTGATCAGAAATATCACATTCTATAACACCCGAGTGATTATCATACTTGTTCATATTAGTGTATATATGGTCTAATAAGGTTACAGACTCACTGGTTACTCTTGTTGGATATTTTATTTTCTGCTCCATTCCTACGCATTTCATCGCTGTTGAAAACCCTTCTGTTGTTCCGTCTGAACTTAATGAATTTATATTAAAATCTCCTATTATAATGGTATTGCGTCTGTCGACTTTAATGTCTTCTAAAACTGTGAGAAGACTTTCTTGAAACTCTTTAACATCTGTATTTGGTTTCCTATATAAAACACCTACCATCACCTTTTGAAATTCTCCATTGTTTATTTCAAACCAGATTGATTCTGTATGCTTCACTGTATAATCTTTCACGACATATTTCAAATTAAAACGAATATAAGCTCCTACCCCTCCTCCTCTTTCTCTACCATCCCGGCACTTTACCTCCAATAAATAACCTTCCATTTCCAAGGTCGATTTTTCTAAAACTCTCCATACTTCTGATAATGCAATTACATCGAATCTGAACTTAACGCAATCTTCATATAACAACTTTAAGGAATCAACATTTTTGTTTAGCGAACGTACATTTACATGGGAGATACTAATTGATTTTTTACCGTCAAGTGGCAATGTACTATCAAATGAATTTGGACATAACTTGTAAGAATGTGATACAGTGTTATCAAACATATTATTAGAATATTTGTATCATGAAAAAAAGGACATTATGAGGAGACATTACTCCAACAAGCGGAGTCTGAAGTTTTTGTATTCGATATTATCCAAACCAACTGCGAACAAGTCGTCAGGGGTTGAAATTATCTTAAAGGTATCATCGTTCATTTTGCAGACGATGTTCCCTGCCTTCGTTGATACAGATTTCACCTCTGTAGATTTCTTTGCTGCCATCAAGACAGCATAGCGAGTAGAGGTGAGGTCTTCGTTCACAAAAACCTGCCTAAAGGATTCCTTCCCCTTCAAGTGGAAACGCCCCTGGTAGACCTTGTCTCGCTTACGTTGGGCGACAAAGCGCACGACGGTGTCGCGCTTCTTCCCCGCCACCTTCCTTCCAAGGCGATGGCAAGCCGAGATGTCGCTCTCTGCAAGCTGCATCCCGGTCTCCCCAGCCACCTTACAGATTTTCTCGATCAGGATCTCCTCTGTCTCATCCCTCTCCTCCTCAGCCAGACCGCTGATCCTCAAATTATCTTTCCTGCCAGCCTGCTCTATTGCATCTTGTCGAAACTGGAGGTGGAGAAGATGGGGATTGACCACCTCCTTAAATGACCGCAGGCACACCTCTTTCACTGCCTGAACTATAGCAGGAACGGCTGCCTTTACTGCTGCCTCAACTGCCTGTTTCACAACATCTCCCATCATGCCATATTCGCCAATCTCCAACTCTTCTAGATGATCTCCTATATCAACGAAAATCCCCTTCTTTTCCGGAGATGCTGCAGCTGCCATCCCTCGTTGAGAGGCGACCTTGCGATCTACATCATTGTTGACCACAAATGGGCGCTGTGGTGATGGGGGTTTTGCCTGGCCCTGAGCGGCTCCTCGGAGAAACATTCCAGGCATATTATCCTTCTTCGCCTTTCCCTTACTTCCACGACCAGGCATGTTGATAACAGCAAAAGGTGGATGTTCACTTCAGGAAAATAAAGGGATGGGACTGAAATGTGTCCACAGCTACAGAAGTCCAGATTTGGATGTGAATTCTAGCTTCAAATTCTCAGTTTCCAGTCATCTGTTGATCTGTGAACTCTCTCCAAGTAGTGCCTTAACACTAGACAAAGGCCTCACATATCCATATATGGATCAAACAGTGAAAGTTTTTGTTAAATCCAGTATTTTACAGGACACAAAATAACACATCTTCTCTTCCTCGCTGTCCAGAGTATTCCAGAGTGTCTGGATTGTCATCAACATCTTAAAATCGTATTTGAAGGTCACGAAATTGTATCCATACAGGATATCATCAACGGGAAGGTCAGAATTGGTCATCTTTCTGAGAAGTGCTGCATCCACAAACAAGAGAACAAAGATATGATTTGTGAGGATTGTAAGGTCCATGTCTGTTACAAGTGCGTGATAGTCGGTCATCAAAATCACAATATCAAGAATCAGCCTGACTTCGAGCAGGAGTTACGGCTAAAGGTAAATGTCGTTTTTTCGGTATTATATGCGTCGGAAGCGGGGAGGGGGGGGGGGGGGGCAGAGGCGGCTGATACAATAATTCAAGTGGGGGGGGGGGAGAGGGGTGGCCTGGCTTTGGGAAAAAAGGAAAGGTTCATTAATCCATTGCATTATAATAACATTACAAAGGCTCTGACAGTTGCATCCTTGCATCCTGCAAACAACATCCCCCCCCCCCCTCAGGATTAATTATGTTTCTAAACCATGTCTACAACAAAGACACTGCAAGAAAGGATGTAAATACAAAATACAAAATGAAATCCCCCCCCCCCCACCCCCCCTTGACAATAAATATTTTGTAGCAAAGCCCTAACAGTAGATTAGGACTGAAAATGCAGAATTTACTAATTCCAATACCTAGTTTTGGGTCGGTACCGTCCATTACAAAATATAAAAAGATGTGTAAGCATAATTATGTTTATGATGTAGAAAGCCGGTGTCATAGAGGCAGCTACAGTTGGGGGGCATATTATTCCCTCTTGTCGGGGATGGAGCCAAATTGTTTCTGCCCCCCTCCCCTTCACAAGGCTAAATATTTTTACAAACAGAGCAGGATTTGATTTTCCCGCCTCCCTTGCCAGACCAAAAAATGTTGAAATAATTTTGTAGTATGACGATGAGGAAGAGATTCTAGAAAACAAATAATCACCATTTCAAATTCTAAAATTCTCTCCCGGTCGCTTCGCTCCCCCACATAATAGATGTATGCTTTCTTCAAAAGCGTCAAAGCGAGGAGGCTGATAATTTTTGTTAAATGTCAAGGTTGCGGCTAAATTGTTAATTAATTCCCCCTTTACAAGACACAATTTCGCCGTATATCGATTGTGAATACAAAATGGCAACATGCAATGATCTGACTGTTCATGTTTTCCGTAATCACTGTTTAAACCCTCAATATAGCCCCTAACTGTGATGTATAGTCATTCTTATTTAGATATAAAATAAAAAAGCGCTCTACGCCAAGGCTCCGAAGTTTTCGGGGACAGCTTTCCTCTAAAAGGGGGCAGAAGACAAACACCCCGCCCGGCTCGCAAGACAATAGCACAACTGTATTTGACAATATTGCAGATATGTAAAGCATTTAAGAGCTTTCAAATACGGTTTCAACTTTCTAAATCGCTATCTTTCAGTCACTAGGCTTCCTCACATTTTAGTAGTTGGAATGTGTCTTATCGTTGTACAAACCCTGTCTACTATGACAGGCGCGCCGGAAGCAGTTTGGGATTGGGGGGGGGGGGGGGGCAAACATTCCAGGGGGCTCACCTTCCAGTGGCAGTGACGTAACGAGCAAAAACGTTTGGAAGGGGGGGGGGAGGGGGCAGAAGAAAAATCTGCATCACCACCACTCTTATACTTTACATGCAGGCCCCCTGGATCGTTTTTCAAAGTGGATTATTAACGATCAGGTAGAGCGTAAATTGGCGTAGGGTCCAGGGCCTGAGCCCCCAGAAGCTCAGAGGTTTTAGGCATTACAATTATGGTCGATAAGCATATTTAGATACCTTATTTGTGACACTGGCAGGACACTAATTGGCGGAGAGGCCAGGGAGCAGAGCCCCCGGAAGCTCGGGGGTTTTAGGTATTTAATAATGGTCAGATGAGCATACAGGGGACTGCCTTAGGGCACTTGATGGGTTCCGGGGGCGGAGCCCCCGTAAGCTCTGGGGTTTTCGGCATTTAATAACGGTCAGATGATCATCCAGGGCCCTGCCTTAGGGCCCTTAATTGGTGGGGTCCAGGGGGCAGAGCCCCCAGAAGCTCAGGGTTTTTAGTTATTTAATAACGGTCAGATGAGCATACAGGGGACCGCCTTAGGGCACTTGGTGGGGTCCGGGGGCTGAGCCCCCGTAAGCTCAGGGGTTTTAAGTATTTAATAACGGTCAGATGAGCATACAGGGGACTGCCTTAGGGCACTTGATGGGGTCCGGGGGCGGAGCCCCCGTAAGCTCTGGGGTTTAAGGCATTTAATTACGGTCAGATGAGCATCCAGGGCCCCGACTTAGGCCCCTAATTGGTGGGGTCCAGGGGGCAGAGCCCCCAGAAGCTCAGGGGTTTTAGTTATTTAATAACGGTCAGATGAGCATACAGGGGACCGCCTTAGGGCCCTTGGTGCGGTCCGGGGCGGAGCTCCCGTAAGCTCTGGGGTTTTAGGTATTTAATAACGGTCAGATGAGCATACAGGGGACCGCCTTAGGGCCCTTGCTGGGGTCCGGGGGCTGAGCCCCCGTAAGCTTTGGGGTTTTAGGTATTTAATAACCGTACGGTCAGATGAGCATACAGGGGACCGCCTTAGGGCCCTTGGTGGGGTGCGGGGGCGGAGCCCCCGTAAGCTCTGGAGTTTTCGGCATTTACTTACGGTCAGATGAGCATATTTTGATACCTTATTTGTGACTTTGGCAGGTCACCTATTTTTTTTCTCTCTCTCTTTTTTTCTTTTCTCTGTAACAAACTTTTTCAAAAAGTGAGGGGGGTTTGAGCCCCTGAGCCCGGCTGTTCTGCAGACTCTGACATAAAGGCTTCTAAATAAGTATATTTTTCGCCCGACTGGAAATTTGGGAATTTCAAATTTTCCAAAAACGCATAAAAAGATATGACTTACAAAAAAAATTGAGAAAAAATTCCGGAAAATCATGTCATTTCAATCAACATTTGTAAATCACTGGTATCGAATAAAAATTACCCCCCCCCCCCCCCCCGCATCAGTACGCCATTGTTCAGGGGCTCATGAGCTTCTCACCCCTTTAACAAAAAACACACACGCTTTCCCATTTTCTCACAATATGTCCACGATATGCGCGTATCGCTATTATTAAAACCTCCATTGATAGGTAGCATGCGCAATGTTTAGGAAATTTAATTCCTGTCAACTTTCCTTTTCTTTGAATGGAATTTTATACGTCATTTGAGTCAGGTTTTTTAGTATTGTTATGTTCTTTTGGGTTAAAAATACAAACCATCTTAACTCCTTTACTGCTTTTTTTTTTTTTTTTTTTTTTTTTTTTTTTTGGGGGGGGGGGCGTTTTTGGGGGGCAAAAATGCGTTTTGCCCCCCCCCCCCACTTCTGGCGCCTATGCTCTTGAAGCTGGTAGGGTGTGAAGATCAATGCTTATCTCTAGTAAAATGGATGGGACAACACTTCCGCCACACCCTCTCACAAGACATGAAGCTCTTTCTGTTGCTCGCATACATGCAAATCATTATTTTGAAGAAGACTAGAATTTTCAGTTGAGTTTCAAACTACTTGATTACACTTTTCAATTTAACAGAAGCAAATGTTTAGCTCGGTCGCTTCACTTCTTGGCGCAATAGTAAACTTTCTGTCATTATTCAAATTATCTTAAATCTGCTTGTGTTTTAAGGCATCTTAAGAACACTATATTCCAATCCAATACTACGAAAAATAAGAATGCAATGTTTGTTTCCCTTTCTTTTCTTTCTTCATAAATATCAAGAAACATGAAAAGAGAAACGGTGTTTTTTGTTTGCTGATGAAGGGGGGGGGGGTGGGGTGGCTATTTGCAGGTAGTACAGCGTAGCTTTATTTCATAGCTATACATTAGTAAAATACATGTATCCTTGTAAAAAAAATTGTCTACCATTATGATGACGATGATGATAATAATTTATTTTTCATAAAAAATAAATAATTATAAGTAGAAAGAGAATAGTAATTATGATGATGGTAATAGTAATGATGTTAATGAAAATCATCATCATCATTATCATCACCATAGTTGGTAATAGAAGTAGTAGTATCTTTATTCTTATTCTTATTATTATATAACTTTAAATTGTTAAAACTAATAATTTCATCAATCTTTTCATCATGATTATTATTATTATAATCATAATACTATTACTATTTGGCCTATCTCCACTCTTGTTATCTTATATTTCTGCCTTCATAGAAATTAACTTATTACCAAGGTTGTATTCCCTTAAAAAAAGAAGGCTGAAAAACAATGTATTCAAATCCGCTGTCCTCCGATTATGATTCATGATTATTGGGGGGGGGGGGGGTCGTGGTTTAACTTTTGTAAAACATGAGGCGCGCGCGAAATCTGGTGTTTAATTTTCAAAACATCTAGGGTGGAATTGGCATACATCTTATTTTACTATATATTTTTTCCTTCTCGTTTCTCTATCATTCGCTTTGTTTAGGTGAACAACCTTGTCCAGCGATGTGCTGCTAAGAAGACAGAACTGGAGAAGAACATTCAAAATGTTGAAGTACAACGTCATGAAGTATTCACTGCCGTGCAGAAACTACTTAATGATGTCAGTCAAGCCTACAGCATCAAGGCTAAAGAGCTGGAAGAAAATCATCGAAATCTCATCGAGCAAATCGATAGAGTAAAGCGGAGTTTCGATGACGACCTCAACGTCTTGAAATCCAAGGATCGACAGAGGATCAAGAGTATGTGTAGCTCAATAACACTGGTAGCTAATGATAGACTGGGTCGTCTTGAGACGGACAGTCTTTCTGCTCATACCTTGCTCTGTGAGGAGCTGGATGCAATGCTGAAGGAGGCTACGGATCACACTTCTGCGGCAGCCATTACGAAGAAAGCACAGGAGAAGAGGTTCAAGCTTGCAGATGATACTCGTCTTGACCTCGGGAGCATCTCATCAGATCCCAAGTTGCAAGTCATTCAGTGTGTAGATCTACGGGGACAGATGGTGGGTATGACACCGTATTCTGATGACAGTGTAGCTATCGGATATAGTAGTGTACATGGTATAGATATCATTGATTCAGCTGGTACAAAGGGGCAGTATCCAAACATACCAAGTAACATGAAGTGTTATGATCTTGTGTTTCAACAAGACAGGTCGTTATGCATATCGACGGGTAGCAAAGAAGCACACATATATTCTCCCAATGGAGCCAGGAAATCAACCATTCACATAAAAAACAATCGCTGTTTTAATCTCAGATTAAACAGAAGTCCATCAGATGAAATCCTCATCGCTAACAATGATAATAAAGTCTATATCTATGACCCGACTGGATCTACTCTCAAACACACTCTTCCAACAAAACACAACAAGACGTTCCAGGTATCTGCCACCAGGTCGGGTTTGATTATCACGAGTTCAAAATATTTTGACACCAATCCAAACGTGGTGACGGTCTATGACAGGGCTGGGAATGCTGGTGAGTCTCTACAAGCTCCAAACGGTGTCCTCCTGTATGCTGCCGTGGATGAGCAGGACAGTGTGTATGTAGCGAGTGTTGATCTTAATAATGGTCACTTGGTGATCAGGCTCTATGACCTTGATGGTTTGAACCTGAATGAAAGAGTTGAGTTCAATGCACTTAATCTAACGCTTGAACATCAAGTGTGTTACTTGGTTTCCATCTCTCAAGACATGCTCGCGTTTGCTTGTCGCAAGAAGTTGTATTTTATCAAAGTAACACTATAATCCATCTCACACTCTATATTACCATTATCGGTGTTGTGTATACCTTTCTGCTCCAACTGTACTCTATAATATGGGCCTATAAATGTGTCATTTTACAGTGTTCATTCTGAATAACTAACCGAATGGGAAGATGCTTATTCTCTTGATAGATTTTAATTGCCTGTATATAGTTGTCATTATCCAATATAATGATAACGTCCCTCTATCGAAATAGTATGTAAATACTGTACGTAAAATATGCATCTACTTCATGGATTGTGTAATGGTTTCTCTTATTTACTGTAAAGGGTGATATACGATATCGTTATGTATAACTTGAAAATTGGTTATGTATTGATTGAATGCATATTAGTGTTATTTCCCTTATGACTTGTTATTAATATCAAAGTATTTTTTAAAATGATTGTTCATATATTTCTTGACTTTTATGGTAATTATTTTGTATCTATAAATGAACAAATAATTTATACAGACATTGTAGATAGGAACCAATTGTAAATAAGCTGGGAGCTGCTAAAATTTAGTTTGTTATGATGTAGAGAAGTTCTGTTTCCTGACTAAGTAATATAAGAATATTATGATATTGTAACGAAATTTATTACAACTGTTTAATACAGACTTCTCTCGTTCTCGAACTCTTAATTGTCTCTTCTTAGTTCTCGCTCAGTATCTCTCTCTCACTCATGCGTGTTGTAAGAATATGTATAAATATTCATTAGGAGCAGCTACACTGTAAGCGCGCACGAAAGATTGTGACGTAATAAAGAGTTTTAAGACTCATCAGTTTTGGTTTAGACACATGAACACGATGTAGTCCCTGTCTTGTATTGTACTAGTTTAGTTGGATTTGAGTGAATCAACCCTAGGCCAACAGCTATCAAAACATGGTGGCAGCGGTGGGATAGATGTTTTTTTGCCGTTGAAATGATCTTGAGTCTGATCACTGTAGTGATAGCGGATTTTGGACATGCTTTGTGAGACAGAATTGTTGATGACCGAGAACTGAGTTTGGCGACTTCAACGCAGTGCGGTGCGGTATGTACTATAGTGCGTCGTCGTGTATATTCTGTACTACATGTGTGTGTCTTCTGTGAATCCGTATTCCGGTGCACGAGAAAGAACTTTTATGTGTCGCGTGCATGTGGACCTGGAACCACTTCGACGTCGTCGTGCGATGATGTGTGTAATCGAACTCTTGATTGGAGTTTATCGTTATTGGATCACAAGCTAGTCTAGATCGACTCTGGTCTAGATAGGACCTAGATCTACAGTGTATTTGTGTGTGTTCGTGCGGACATGGACATGGTGTAAGCACCCTCCGAGACTAGACTACAGGTGAGCCCAGCACTGCAGCAGTGAAGCAGAAAAGTAACTTCACGCGATGGGAGCATACTTGACTTTGTAGACCTACATGTATGTAACAAGTTAGACCTACATTATGAGACTGTGTTATTAACTGGAACTACTGCGCAACTATTGTAACGTCAGTCACTGAGTGAGCCTTTCTTGATGTGCAGACTTCTTTGGACTCCAGTATCACTGCCAGATCTACACTACGACGACAAGGTGTATCCAGAATCTATTCCAGATGTGTTGTCTTCACAAGGAAAAGGGACTTGATGATTGATCAATATCAGATCTAGATCTAGTCTAGAAACTGAGCTTTAACGATCGCCGATAGGTCCATATCTACCTCGGATTGAGTTGGAACTGATATTCAGGACATATAGCTTCAGTATACTTCGAAGAGATTGAACAGTTAATTATAATTATATAGGCCTACTGGACTGGACAACAATCAGCTATTAATATTATAAGACTGAGCTGAATGTAAGGAGGGTCAAGTGTGGAATTGTTTTGAATTTGATTATTGTTGATAAGCAATATGCCTAACCCTTGTTCTGTACTTTATAGGTTTGAGAGCTATATACTTGTAAGTTGTATGATATATTCAACCAATTGGGGATTCCATGGTACCCATCTGAGTTCTGACTAGTATTATTAGTAATAGTAATACAGATCTACATTTAGATCTAGCTAGTTTGACCATTGTCTTCTGTTAGAAGTTAGTCATGTATAGAAGTGAGATAGACTTAAAATCTGAATTGTAAGAGTTCACGAGGAGGTCTCATGATAATGTCATGTGTATTCAATAATATTGATGGTATCTAAGTTCATGACACATTAGTATTCTAGATGGCCTAGGCAGGGACGTTCTTGTCATTACTTTAGTAGATCCCTGTAATGTGACCTATTGGTGTGAAACTACATAGTCTTGGTTCAAGAGTTGTATGGACATTGTGTGTACCATACTGATTGCCAGTATTGATAGTATACAAGTGCATTCTTTCTGTTTATGTGCTGATTTTAAGTATTGGTCCAATGCATTATATTTGTTGTTGTAGTAACTCTGCATGCATGGTACTTTTTGTCTAGGACAGAACCAGGTTCAGTGACATTACATGTAACAGATTGGATTGTACACATTTACAAACATGGCTGAAGCTCAACTTCCCTTTCATATTGCACCACCGCCACCCCTAAGGCATAAAGAAGATAGGGTGGAAGAGTGGAAGATGTTTAAACAAATGTATGAAAATTATGAGGTTATCACTAAGTTAAAGCAACAGGACAGTGAGTACCAAAGAGCTGTATTTCTCCATACAGTAGGTCCTGAAGGTCTAAAAATCTTCAATGCTATTACTTTTGAAAGAGATGGAGATGACAAGAAAGTCGATGTCATTATCCAGAAGATGAATTCTGTCATCATCGGACAAACCAATGAGATATATGAGAGATTCATATTCAACAAGCGGGACCAGAAACAAGGTGAAAGCATCGAAGCATATGTGACAGAGTTGAAACAGCTCGCTAAAACCTGTAAGTTTTGCGACTGCCTGAGGGAAAGCCTCATCAGAGATCGCATCGTGTTGGGAATTGCTGATACTGCAACAAGGAAAATCCTCCTCCAAAGGAAAGACTTGAAGTTGGAGACAGCTATAGACATTTGCCGTTCTTCTGAAGTCACTGCCTGACAAATGCAGGTCATTGGAGATGATCCTTCTATCCACAGGGTAGAAAAGTCACATGAAAGAAAGCAGTGGACGAAGAGTCCAAGGCGACAGCCAGAAGGAGAGAATCTCATAAAGTGCAAGTTCTGCGGAAATACTCATAGACGCAAAAAGGAAGAGTGCCCCGCCTATGGGAAGATGTGCAAGAAATGTGGGAAAGAAAACCACTTCGCCATATGCTGTAAGAAGGGATCAAAGTACAAGAAGGAGATCCATAACGTAGAGTCTGAGGATTCAGCAGAGAACCAGACAGAGTCGGAAACGGAATCTGTGAACCACATAGAGATAGAGGTGTACGCTACAGGCACCAAACCATCTAAAGGACTGTTTGCGGAGATGTTGGTTGAGAACAGACCAGCTAACTTCCAGATTGACTCAGGTGCGAGTGTGAATGTTATTTCAAAGAGCCTTGTCCCGAGTGCAGAAGACATAGTCAAAGAGAACATCATACTGAAGATGTACAACCGTTCTCGTCTTCAAGCAGAAGGTCGGGCTAAGGTCGTGTTGCGTAACACTAAGAACAACAAGAAGTACAGAGTCAACTTCATCGTTGTTAAGGAGAACTTAGTACCACTCCTGAGCGGTCCAGCTGCACAACAGATGAAATTCATAACTGTACATTATGAGAACTTCAACCAAGTCTGTGCTGTAAGCCCTGAAAACATCTTAGAGAGTTTCAGTGACATCTTTGACGAGCAAACTCCTGGAAAACTACCTGGCAAGGTCAAGTTGGTGACCAGGGAAGAAGTGACCCCAACACAGTGTAACGCCAAACCAGTACCAGTTGCAATGAAGCAGAGAGTCAAGGATGGACTTGCTAAATTGGTTGACCAAGACATCTTGATAAAGGTTGAGGAACCAACCCCATGGTGTAGCAGACTGGTCGTTATTGAGAAGAAAGACAAGAATGAATTGAGGTTTTGCATTGACCCAAGACCCCTCAACAAAGCCTTGCAAAGGGAAATACACAGATTGCCAGTCATGGAAGACATTCTCCCGGAGCTGTCAAAGGCTAAGATCTTTTCCAAGTTTGATTTGAGATCAGGCTACCTCCACTGTGAGCTTGATGATGAGAGTAGCTTCCTTACAACAATGAACACCCCGTTCGGGAGATATAGATGGAAAAGACTACCCTTTGGTCTGAATGCGTCGGCGGAAATATTCCAAAAGAAGCTACAACAGGCTTTGGATGGCCTTGATGGAATTGAGTGTGTTGCTGACGACATTATCCTGTTTGGTGTTGGAGACAACAGAGAGCAAGCAGAGAAGGACCATGATCGTAAGCTAGAAGCTCTGCTCCAGAGATGCAGAGATAAAGGTATCAAACTCAACCAGAAGAAATCTGTGCTGAAGGCTACAAGCATTCCATTTCTAGGACACATAGTGACAGACAAGGGACTGAAGGTAGATCCTGAAAAGGTCAAAGCAATTCTAGAGATGCCCAACCCTTCTGACCCTACGGAAGTGCAACGCCTACAAGGCAGCGTCAACTACCTCGCAAGGTTTCTACCTATGCTGTCCGATATGTTTGAGCCGTTGAGACGACTAACACATAAGGATGCCGATTGGGAATGGACATCGGAGCACGAGAGGGCAATGTCAAGAGTGAAGGAATCTTTGACCAGGGCACCTGTCCTAGCATATTACTCACCAGACCTACCACTGACCATCCAGTGTGATGCAAGCAAGTCAGGGCTCGGAGCAGTACTTCTCCAGAAGGGACAACCGTTGTCCTACGTTAGCAGAGCTCTAACAGCAACTGAACAGAGGTACGCCCAGATCGAGAAAGAGGCACTTGCCATATGTTTCGCTCTCGAACGATTCCACCAATATACCTTTGGACAAAGGGTCATAGTCGAGAGTGACCATAAACCTTTACAGGCGATCGTCAAGAAACCTCTCCATAAGGCACCAAGACGCCTTCAAGGAATGTTAATGAGGATGTTGCACTACGACATCGACATCACCTGGGTAAAGGGACAGGACATGCATCTGGCTGACATGCTGTCAAGAGCTAACCTACCCACCACTGTAGGAGCCACTGAATTTGGTGAGGTGAACATCGTTGAAACCCTGAGTATGGGAGAGGAGAGGGTTAAACAACTGCAATCTCATACTAACAATGATGAGGTTCTACAGACCGTCAAGAAGGTCATCCACAAAGGTTGGCCGGAACAGAAAGCAGAAGTACCCGAAGCGGCTAAGTCATACTTCAATATCCGAGACGAGCTAAGCGTGCAAGATGGACTAGTATTCAGGGGAGAAAGAGTAGTCATCCCCATAACCCTCCGCAAGGAAATGAAGGAAACTCTTCACACTTCTCATCTTGGAATTGAAGGGACCCTTAGAAGGGCCAGAGAAATCATCTATTGGCCTGGGATGAACGCGGATGTCAAGCAGTTTATCCAGACATGTGAAGCCTGCAGAATGTACGAGCAGCAGAACCAGAAGGAAACCCTCATGTCACACGACATCCCAGACAGGCCATGGGAGAAAGTAGGTACCGACCTGTTCGAACTTAACAAGAAACACTACCTCGTTACCGTCGACTACCTTTCCAACTTCTGGGAAATCGACAGACTGTATGACCTTGGCAGTCGGGCAGTAATCGGGAAACTGAAGAGCCACTTCGCTCGATATGGCATCCCGAGCACTGTAATCAGTGACAATGGACCACAGTACTCATCCGAAGATTTCGCGAAGTTCTCTAAAAGATGGCAGTTTGATCACGTC